TGCATAGTAACCAACAACATCAGCTAAGGTCCTGCCAATGCTGGCTTGGGGGGGGCACGGGTTATCTCTAGTTGGCAGAACACCAAGCTTGCCCAAGCTTCAGTTGCTACGGCACAAAAGTTGCATTTAGGAGGTCATGGGTTCAATCCCCAATGGCTTCACCTGAAAGTTGAGGGCTTAGGGCTTTGAGGTTAGGGTCTATGGCTGGTTTAGGGTTTAGGAGTGGTTTGGGGTTTAGGGTTTCGGCTTAAGGGTTTACGATGTATGATGTAGGTTTTCGGGGCTTGGGGCTTAGGATTTAGGACTTGGGGTCTAGCATCTGCACTATCACCCTTCTGGATTTTGGTTTAGGGTTCAGGGTTGATGGTGTAGGTCTTAGTGTTTAGGGCCTAGGGTTTTGGGGTTTTGGAATTTAGGGCTTATGGTTTAGGGTCTTGGGGTTTTGGGGTTTAGGGCTTATGGTTTAGGGTTTTGGGGTTTTGGGGTTTAGGGCTTATGGTTTAGGGTTTTGGGGTTTTGGGGTTTAGGGCTTATGGTTTAGGGTATAGGGTGTCAGGTGTAGGGGTTTCAGTTTTCGAGTTCAGGGTTCTGGATTTTGGATTTAGGGTTTAGGGTTTAAGATTCTGGATGAAGGGTTCGGGGCTTAGGGTTCTCGACTCGAGGTTTCTTGGTGTTTTATTTAAGGTTTAGGATCTGCGTAGCCTCCCTTTAAGATTTGTTTCGGAGGTTTAGGGTTAATTGTTTTGGGTTTTGGGTTTACGGTTTTGGGTTTACGGTTTCGGGTTCAGGCTGGAGGGCTTAGGCTTTTGGATGTGGGGGTTAGGCCCTTTAGGGTTTAGGTTTGAACCCTTGTGGGGGTTTGGCCCTTTAGGGTTTAGGCTTGAACCACCATTACGAGCCCCTTCCTACAAAACTTCTGGCGGTACAGAAGGAGATGTGAGGGGGGGGGAGGGGAGGGAGGAGAAGGGGGGCACTGTCCATGTACCAGGTTCACGAGGAGCTTCCCGATTCCTGCTTGCGGAAGACATTACGTTGGACAACAAAGGGTCCACGAAATGAAGAAAACCAAAAGAAGGGTCCGCCGACCGGTGTGTGAAAGTGACGTGAGTCTGTTCGCCTTCCATGTTGCCTGACCCTCTTTAAGACTTCATGGAAGTCAATCAAACTTTTATTTTTTTACTGTTAAACAGTTGTGTGGACGTAAAAAATAAAAAAAAGTTGTGTGGACATCCATCTTTTGACATTGCAAGTAGGCGTAGAAGGGAGGGAAAGAAGACGAGGAGGAGGAAGAAGAAGACAAGGACGAGAAGTAGAAGGAAGGGGAAGAAGTAGAGGAGGGAGGAGGATAACGAAGAGGAGCAAGAACGAGGAGGAGGGGGAGGAGGCTAAAGAAAGGCGAGCAAGAGTAGAAGGGTACAGGTAAGCGTAAAGGGAAGAGGAGGAGGAAGACACAGGGGGGAATGTGACACTGAGCATACTTTGAACAAGAGAGAGAGAGAGAGAGAGAGAGAGAGAGAGAGAGAGAGAGAGAGAGAGAGAGAGAAGCTGTGTTGTTCAAATGTTGAAATCAGTTTGCATGTTGAAAAGCAACTTGGTCATTCCTTGTCACTATTTTTTGTTTCTTATTTATATATTTGAATATTTATATATTTATTTATTTATTGATTCTTTTTGGGGTGCCGAACAAGGAAATAAGGCCTCCTGAAGGGGTGTTTTCAAGGTGTCTGAGGCAGGGTGTGCATTTTTCGGTTTTCACAACTAGAAAACTGTGGGGTCTTGAAAAACCCACCCTGCTTGAGAAACCCTAGTGGCTCAGTTTGTCAATCGCGTGACAGGGAAAAGAAAAACAAAAAAGCAAATGAAAGCAGACGAAGTCAGGTAGGAGACGTACCATTTTCACTAGCACACAACACACACGTGATCATGAAAGTACACAGCCTATCTTTCCGGTCCGATACACTCATGATGAGGGTGCATGGTGTTTCCCCTTCCCCAGTTGTTCGTTTGCTTCCTGTTGTCC